TCAAAAATTGACGATTTTCACTCATTTTGGTGGGCTATAGTCCATGCATTTTGGTCAAAAATCAACCATTTTTGGTCATTTTGGTGGGGTATAGTCCATGCATTTTGGTCAAAAATCGTCCATTTTCACTCATTTTGGTAGGCTATAGTCCATTCATTTTGCTCAAAAATCAACCATTTTTGGTCATTTTGGTGGGCTATAGTCCATGCATTTTGGAAAAAAATCGTCCATTTTCACTCATTTTGGTGGGCTATAGTCCATGCATTTTGGTCAAAAATCGTCCATTTTCACTCATTTTGGTGGGCTATAGTCCATGCATTTTGGTCAAAAATCGTCCATTTTCACTCATTTTGGTAGGCTATAGTCCATTCATTTTGCTCAAAAATCAACCATTTTTGGTCATTTTGGTGGGCTATAGTCCATGCATTTTGGAAAAAAATCGTCCATTTTCACTCATTTTGGTGGGCTATAGTCCATGCATTTTCTTGAAAAATTGTCAAAAATTAACGATAAAAATCGTTGTCAAGTATGTTGAAAAGGCCATTATAGAAAGATTGTGAAGCACTTTTTAGGACTCAACCCAAAGTTAGAATAGTCTGATGACCAGAAGTGGAACGAAAGTCTTAATTCATTTTTCGRGTGTTTTGTTAACTTTTACATGTAAACGATATATACTGTTTTGAATTGACTTGYCTATTTGGTTGCCGTGAAAGATTAGTGATCGTTTTACGTCAAACTGTGACGTAACTAAGGTCAAGAATGCATTTTGTGCCGAAAATCTAAGCTCAGCGTTGAGTAATCACGGCATTCACCATCGATTCCTTAAGGAAMAASACCATTCCTCTTTCATTATGTCGAAAACTTACTTCTCTTGTTGTAGTTAGTTCTGTGGTTGTCTTATTGTACTTGTTTGTCGAGGAAGTTGCTCCTGCRCACAAAGGACTACAGTTTTTGGAGACGACATGTTCGCTCAATACGAGTCAAGTCCGGGAGAACATATCATGTGACTGTGGTGTTTATACCAAGTCTGCTTGTTATCCATGTTTAAAGGTTGCAGTTATGTTTAACATTAGTGAAAATGATCAGTCAAATCTCAAGCAAATATCGACTCTCTTGCACGAGAACTTATACTTGCTGAACATCAAGGTTTGTCTGACTGACAGTTTTGAATTTTAGAGTTAAACGCTTTTATTTTAAGATTTTACAGAAGTTATTTATGTAATAATTTTATTAATATGTCGACATAATATATATCACAAAAAAAAATCATTAAGCAAAGATGACAGACTACAATAGTTTATTKTTCTTTGCAGTGTTTCTTTCGTCCTTCAAGATGTTGCCATAGCAATGAGGAAAACAGGAAAAACGTCTTAACTAAACAAAGAATGCTTGGTAGCCATGGCAACCAGTTTCCCTGTTACTACGACCCGTACAATTCTTCTCAAGTTTTCTACTATCGTCATTACTTTGAACTKATTATCGTTAGCAGTATTGCGTTACCAACGCTCGGGATTATTATTGGTGTCTATATCTTGATTCGTGTCAGTTGGAAAGAAGAACAAGAACAAGTGCGATCAGCCTTTGGATCACTCCAGCGGTCTCCCCCTGGAAAACCATGGTGGCATGTAATYCARCACAATCCATTRCGAGTTGAATAACCTGCACCGTGCATACATTACCGCTTGTAACTTGGAGATTTTCCATTGAAAGTTTAAAAAAAGCTTTGTAGATGCTTATTAATTCAGCTCTAATAAAATACATTCATGAGTTGAGTAGAATCATCGTGTRACGCAATTATTTCATGTTTAAACATGGCGACCTTGGTTGTAGTGCAAGACAGTCCTTCATGGTTGCAGCGTTAAGTAATTGYGAGAAATAATGTGGATTGAGTGGACTACTTGACGGTAAACTCTTGCGCTTGCCATTTTTGACTTCATATATCTGTAAAAAAAAACAAAAAAAAAACATCAATGTAGTCTTATTGTCTATGTGATTCGCTAATACAAAAGCTTACTTTGTGACTTTGCGCAATTTTTAAATAATTTTAGCAAATATGTGCACTAAAACTACTCAAACAAAAGCGATTAGTGTGGATTTTGAGCGATTTTCAGCGATTTTGGTCTCGTAGTAAGCCTGTTATCTTTCYCCATAATTTCATTTCAGTTCTMTTCAAATTCCCCTTTTCTTTAAGAAGGTTAGTTTCTGTATAATTCAAACCTGCTCGGCTTGTAGTAAATCAAATCTATACTGTGTGGTTGAAGTGCCTGGGATTGAKGTAATCTTGCCCGCCAAACAATACTCGTCACCAGGATTCTGARAAGACAAAACATAAAAAGGAACTACAWTTTTACGATAGATAAATATGCGCAAACGAAACGAAGACGGAATCCAGCGCAAAAGGAACGGACGCGCAACTTATAAAACAAAGCTGAACGAATTGAGTCTGTACAAAAAGAAAACGTTACACACGAGAAACACCGACAAAAGGAGCYCAAAAAAGCACTTCAAAAATACCTGAATACGGTCTAACTTACTTTAATGAATTGAGTCACGTAATCATTCTTGAAGTACGTATGATAAACGATTGTGTTTAGAGCTGTGAATCGGTCGATAGAATCCTGTCAAGAAAATTCATCATGATCGTTACTGATACAACAAGGTAATATGATACATTAGGGATGGGTACCTCATCACTGGCCGCGTCATCAGACCCATGGATTGTTGTGTCTGAGCCCTGAAATACAGACAATACATCTGTTAAAAGACATCGATTTGCTTGCAATGTCGTGCTTTTCACTTCGTACGAGATTATTTCTAAAAAATTATTACATCAATAATTGTACCTCTTCAACCTCTTCATACTGGACAGGTTCTGGATACAGACGCCCGCGTATGTACTTCACTAGACGATGAATCAATAGAAATGGCAGGATGAAGAAGAAAAACAAGTTAAAGAAAATTTCTCGTTTTTTGTTTCGTGGTTCAATTACCTCCCTCCTGAAAACAGACAAGAGGAACAGGAAATCAAGTTGGATGAAAGATTTTATCATCAGAAGAAATTCTGATTGGTCGAAATGACTCACGTGTCAGGATCGACACCATCTCCTGCGTCATTGTACTCCATGACAACCATTTGCCCTGCCCTGTTACGTCGTCGTGTTGTCATGGCACCCATACCAAACCGAGATACCGCTGCCTTCCTCATCCCAATCAARGCCTTGAGACCACCGAGTGACAGGAGACTGGTAGCGAGAATGATGAGTGTCTGGAAATCTGCCAGGAAATCCCACATTGATTTGATTTTATTGAAYACGTTTTTGATGCCATTCCATAGCTTGGGGAAGAAACCAAGGTCTACTCCAGTTTCCTTAGGTTTGAATTTGGTCGTCCCTTTGATCTTACGCTCTACACACTTAAAGCCTTGTTTAAAACACTAAAAGTAGATATATCGATTAAAAGGTTGAATTACAAGACTAGACGACTAACTGACTTACACTACACCCGCAACTAGTAGCACACACACAAGGWGCAGTGGTCTTGAACGTCACATTAGAACTGTCAATCAACTTACGTCGAGCATCGTACAACTGAGCTGAAATAATCACAAGCAAAGTGCGATTACAAACAATCTGCRATAAAGGTATGGATATGTCTCTACAAGTACTTACTGACGCAGAAGTTATTGCCGCCCTTCCATTGCTGAGCTTTGACATGGAACATAAAGGTGTGTGTCTGCTGAGGGTTGATGGACGCCGATTTCTCAAGAAGTTTAAGAATTCCAACTGAACAATCACGAACTACAACCTGAAAGAAGAGTCACCTTAAATAACTATAATTGAAGTGTTAAGTGAAGGTAACTGATGTAAATGGTTGGGTGTCTGAATTAGGTGTGTCTGAAGTGGCCGTGTTTGGTACATACATAGAAATCAGCTGTCACTAATCCTGTGTTCTGTATTACCACGTAGAGGTTTCCGTCACGTGACATAGCTTGGAAGTCCTGCGCGTAGGATCGCAGTATCTTACCAGTTGCCCTGGGTTACAAGTAGATTACTTATTACTTATTATAACTTATTATTATTACTTCCAATGAACACTGACATGCAAACTATCATGAATCAAATATTTTCTTGCCTTGAATTAAAATTAACCTTCTGAGATATACCGCTATACCTATTTTATTGAAGTGAGCTCAAAGTGAAATTGAGATCGAATCTAATATTTGACAAAAGTCTCAGCACCTGTTATAAATGAGGATGATGTCATCAGCGCTAATCTGCAGTGTTACCATACTCGTCATAACCTCATCAACCTCGTATGTAAGTACAAAGTTACTGGTATCCATGTTTTTCTTGACTCCAAGTAATTTACCGTACTTGGCTGGAAAGTACCGCGGGGTTTGGCCATTGTCACGACGTTTCTAATGAATGAGAATCAYGATGAGTCATCTTATTTCCTACTGAATTAAGTAAGTAATCGTGCTAACCTTGTCCCAGTTAAAGTAGTCTTTTGGCTGATTGTTAAGACAGCTGAAATGTAACACAACGTATTTCATAGTCTGTGTACATCCCCCCCCCCTCCGTCCACTGCCCCCCTCTCCCGTCTACAGCTTAGATAAGAAGACCCCAGGAGGGTGAGGAAAATGTATTTGATTAGTACTGTAAATGTGTTTGGGCTAGTATCCTATGAGGATTGGAAGATATCCCATTTCTTACAGATATCAATCAAYTATATGCCGTATTGATATCTTACGCTTGTTGTTTCTGACTGCATCCCATWGGAGCCTGGGCTCTAAACGCCGAGTACGTMACACCAATCTTGTCACATTCATGTGGACCGGTAGACCTGAAGTTCACTTCGTGTTTATCGACCATTAGGTAGTCATGGGGACCATTCTGTAYAAACAAACAGTGTTGATGTAATGAGGGKTGGTGGGACAATCCTGTTGATATGCAAGTTTTCACCAGGATAGAAAAGCATACGTTTYCTGCTACAATAGATTACGTCCCTGACAATCCYTWACAAGTATTATGGTACGTACTCGAAACTGAGGATGTGTTTTGGGATCAATCTTGTCGCTGGCGTAAGGAATAAGGAGATAYTTGGTACTCAGCACTGGAAACTGTTTGTGAGACTGGAATTCACCAATAAATGTTGCAAATATCTAGAAAAACGTTAGATAGTAGAATTGACGCTGRAACTTTCTATTTGTGATTAATGCTTTTTAGAAGAACAGAATACATGACGCTTCAGGTTATTGAATGAAAATTCAAAAGGTTGTAAGGAGTCGAGGAGGAAGTTGCCTACCCTGTCATACTTTCCACGACCAGATCGTATAGTTGGACCAATAATAATCTCGCCGCCGTCAACCCATTTTGTTGTTGTCTTGTTRTTCTCTTTTTTGATAACTTGGTCGTATGCTTTTACGTGGATACTAAAGTCCATTTGCCATAAGCCAATCTCGTTTACAGTATACCTATGAAGACAGACGTTGAGACAAGACACCAATAACACAAGTACAGAGAAWAGAACATTAAAGTCAGGCACGTCTTTGACACTGATTTTGATAAAAGAAGACTTACCATAAATCATCRTATTTCATACAATGAGCGGATGCTTGGTCTCCAAACACCTTACATTGAATGCCACCTCGTGWATATGGGTTCTTGTCATTGAACGAACCTCGCCACTTTTCTTGCTCWGTACAYCGACAACAAAATCCCTGGAAAATATCCACACCTTACTTGACTATCATMACAAAYCCTATACACCMTTCATMTCTGATCACACCTGACTATCCCAAATAGGTTTTCCACTCTGATCTTTAGCGAATCCACAAGCAGCATGYTCATCGCCCCATGCGTCACTGCAAGCGTGGTAGGACCCTGATGCAAGCCATGCYTTGCCTTCGCGTATTACTACTTCCTCTTTAGGCTTGTTATTGACGGTCTGGAGAGACACGATCATAATGATAAAACACAAAGAAAAATAATTAAAAAATATTCACATCACAAATAAGGAAAATAATAAAGCATACAGGTGAAATATCAACGCCCAGGAAAATGTACGAACAGAGATAAAACATGCTGTAAAAATACCCCAAGGTAGTAGTATGGGTAGGTTAGGGTTACTGGTGTCTTGGCTAAAGTGATCACAAATGGATTGTAAAGTCTTGCCATTTCTTGCTCTGTCTGATCGTAAACCTTGCTGACATTAGTAACTGTCTTAAGGAACTCTGTACCATTCTGAAATACAATTAAAGTACTTCGAAGTGTTTTACTGTACGCCTGTACAAGGCTCGCCTTACTAGTAGAAAACTTTACTGTGTATTTTTTTTCTTACGACCTTTTCAATGCAAAGTTTAACCCTGAACAGACAATTGAACAATATTATCTTACCTGGCCACTGCGTACAGACAATGTTACTATAAGCTTCTTCTGACAGGCTTTCTGGTCAACCACGTTRTAAGGATCTTCACTGTCWCCAGTATTTTCACAAATTTGTAAACTRCTTTTAGCRAGGACGTCTGAAACACTCTCTTTGAAATTATTACAAAGAAAAAGTGCCAAAAATACAGCCAAGAAAACAGACATTTTATAGAATATTGTTGGAATACTGACTAGAAAACATAATTGAAACTTTTAGTCGACTCAAAAGTACGAATATTCATAATTTTCGAGCACAAATAACGTCTTTTTCGCCGATTTTTGATCAAAAGTTCTTTCGTCAACTTTTAAAACTCACGCGCATTGACTATAGAATGAAACCGCTGATCAAATTGCTCCTTACGGTTTGCGCGCGTTTTGCATAATCGAGTCAATATATTCAATTTAAGATTTCAAATCAATATAATAATTTTGACAGCCTCCACCGGCTTTCAGGAAATGTATTGTCCTCGTTTCCGTTGTTTTGGACAGAGTTTGCGGACAGGTTTTTTGGCCCAACAAATATCATTTTAAAATCACCCGGAACTGCACATCACATGACAAATAAAGACACTGACCGAACATCTATGAAATCACAAATTAACGGATTATAAATATCATGGTATTACAAGGTATTTTACTCATGTTGCCATCATGATTTAACCACACCTAACAAGTTAGTTCTCGTGTTTCAGTCGTTAAATTTATTTCAATTGTAAATATAGGTTGTGATAATTATCAGTGTAGTCTAGCCTACTTATTAATAAGTTCTTGTTGTGGTGTGCGCCCTAATAAGCCAGTCAGTTATTAATAGATTGGATTACTGGATTTGACTCGATATCCCATCAGATAAAGCACACAATAATCTTTTTATTAGACTAATCAATCAGCGTCGGGTTCTTGTGTATGAAATTGTTGTCACTAATCAGGTTGGTAGATGGTGAAATTTGAACATTACAGATAAGCTGTCGGGTTCTAAACGGAAATTGATCTTCATTTTCATTTCTCATTATCAAAACTAACTTCTTTCGTTCTCTTATTTCATACTCAGACTCTCTTCCCGCTTTTCCAGAGCTTCCAATTCCCAACTGACTCATTTGTTCAGTTTTTGGCTTCTCTTTTTTTAGGAAACTGACATTACAAGCAGAATAAAGTAGATGATTTTTATCTAACGGCCCGAACCACACCGCTATAGAGGATTCGCCGAAGTGGACTTAGGGGAAGAGCTATCAAATGATTAAAAGATAGTAACAAATTTGTAGCTGTTTCGCCGTTTTTCAAACTACAGCACCAATTTGATTTATGTTCTGTTATGATTGAAAGTACTGACAAATCCACAAATTGCTGGATTATACTAGGAAGATATAAGCTTACATGACATTCAGATACGCGAAGTTCAGTCCAAAACTTAGACATTTTAATCAGTAAACCTTGCTGTGAAACGTTTTTTAGGCGTTTTTTTATGGCAAGAGTCATTGTTATCCTGGCGACCAACTCGATGTCCAAGTAGCCAACCTTGTAATCTTCAAGTGCGCGAAACGTAAGGGAGTCAATGCGCAACTTGTGCTTATAAATGTGCTAAAATTCTTTTATCTGCGGTTATAGCACTAGGAAAGCAAGGGATGTCTAATTAGGTTACTATTACTGAGGCTATGCRGTAGCACTTGTTAACTACAGCTCACTGTCATTGAACCTGTTTGATATCAAAGAACCGAGCGCATGACCCTGTTAAAATCATGACGGGTTATGTAAGGATAAAATAGGTTATCCACAGCCGCGACGCCAAACGATTCTTGAACATATACTGACACTATCTRTTCAGCTTTGGTTTGCGTCATTTTTACTGTAAATTTAATGATGATTTAAGTTTTAGAGTTTTTCACGACAAGTGTGATTTTTAAGTCTGAGCAGTTATTTTACCCGCAAAAGRAAACTAAAGAGATTATAATAGTTATACCACACTGAATAAGTGATCTAGTATCACCACGCTAAACGGTGATTTGCGCCCTAGTGTTCTTCTACAGCCATGGATACAATCGCTCTCGTCTTTGGCATGTTTAAGAACAATTACGCTACAAWAGATTAACTTGTCTTTTTAATGTCATCAAACGCAACAACGTCTTCATTTGAAAAACGAAACAAACATCGATGCAGTTTATAGTCAAACCGAGTTGGACAGCTGAAACTCTAGCGCGTTTTGAATACATTTTTAAAACGTTGTTGATTTTCAAAGCGTCAATCACAGTGCCATCATTGGGTTTCCCTTGGACCACACTTAAAGAAGTAGAATAGAGTTGAAATGAGCCTCAAGAGCAATCGACATATTAATATTGTAATTAATAAACCAAGAAAGCTACTCTCCTGAAGCCTTTTTCCTGATGATACCCTTGGGCTACCACTGYCACACATCTATTTGTCATTTTCGTTTTAAGCACTTATTTCATCAAGTTTAWTACATAAACAGTAGCGAGTAATAAACAATCTAGCTGCGGTTCGAATATGAATCAAAAGAGTTAAGTTGAATGATTGATTKAAAATTGATTGTTTTGTTTTACCGCGCTTCCCGTGCGAGCGGTCAGTGCTGTAAGCATATATGCAAATTACATTAACTGCTTTTGTCACTAATTGTTCTTTTTCATCGTTCGTAATTTGTTAAAACTGTTTTCGTAAGAAATTAACTCAACAGGAGTAGGTATTTGCAATGTTTGATAAGACAGAAAATGTTTCTGAATCCCTTTTTTTCTGGTATTTAGAAAGACAAAACAAATATTGAAATGTTACCTTTGATAGCCAATATTTGCTGTTGTTTCTAGTCAGAGGATTTCCTCTCTATTTTCAGACCCAATGCCTTGAATACTAGCAAAACTATCGGAAACTTTCTCGCTGATGCTGCATTACTTTTCATTGATTTCATATTAGAAATGAAAACTGTAGCATCCCAAGTGGCCGCTGTTTTAATCACTTCTCTGATATGTTTACACAAACGCTGTTTTAGTTTCCCATCTTCCTAGACAACAGGACGCTATTTCGTTGCATTTACTTTATAGTCGGCCTTATGAATATGAAAAAAAACTTAGTTCATATTTGTGTTTTTTGTTTTTTAACTGACTGAGAAGTATAATCTGGCTGAAATCCCTGGCAGTGAACAGTCCTCTGTATCCGCGTTGGTCATTAGCAGTGCAGCCACAATTCATGTTTTTATTATATCTGAACGTTTTAATCAACTCAAGTCAGCTCTACTTGTCATAGTAGCACCAGCAGACAATTCTCTCCCATATTCACCACCAAGCCGACTTTCTCGTATTTCTTCGATGAGTTTTCTACGCCAACACAAACAGCAAACAAGAATAAAAACAATAATTAGAGCAAGAACACCAAAGAAAACGCCAACTATTAAGATAACGCGTCTGTTTTCAGTGCTAACGTTGCCTGCCATTCAGTTTTTCTTAGTTTCCTATACGCTTGAAATTAATTGCAGAAACCGCACGACAACGATATCATGAATCGTGCAAAATGACAATCGTCTTTACGTTTTAGTGGAAGCGAAGGTCATCCAAATCAAGTAATCTTTCAATAGATCGAGATAATATCTGTCGTCTTCGAGTCTTTTTTTTTGCAATAAATGTATTGTTTCGTTTGTCAGTGCATGTCAGCGCCTTCCGTTTTGATAGCTGTTCCTTGGGTCCCTAGCGCGATGTATTTTCGTTGTTAGCATCAAAGCAGTCTTGWGAGGGATGGTGTAAACACGTAGCTCTAGTCGTCCGTACTGACGATGGAGTCCTTTTAAATGAGTATAGCAAAGGGCAGCGACTAGGTAACTATGCCGGTAGCAACAAAACAGCGTTCTCCTTATGGCACACAATCGAGGTTAGATGACGTCACGTGATGAGAAACTGACAAGCGACAGGAAATGAAATAGCGTATGCAAAGAACTGTTTGCACTTAATTCGTAAAAGACTTAGCACGTAAATAATGAAGACATGTTTTCATAGTTTACCTACTCAATAGAGGTTGAAAACTGTAAACACAATAGCGCTGTTCCCTTGAGAAAGAAAAGGTGTAGTCGTTGTGACTGGATTGATCTGATACGAGGAACGTGCCAGCTTTCTTACTAAAGATATTCTAAAACACCTGAATCTAATCATACTATCACAATCAATCGTGTCACCACAATGTACATCAAGGAACGGCTACTAATGGGGGATGTTTATCAGAAATACACGCCTTTACAACACACTTTGATTTTCATTCATGTTCTTGATGAGACGAAATGAAATTCTTATTGTATATTTTGCTTATGGTATTTCATACTCAAATGATTATATTCATCAAACACTTGTTTATAACATTTCTTGAGGACGTTTAACTTGATGATGAATTTTGCAGATGATTTCAACCAGTGAGACGAGCGCACAGCATGAYGGGGGAAGTAATCCTAAGACTTTTAAATCCCACTAAAACATTCCCCCAAATCCGCTTGTATGTTTTCTCAAAAACTGCATGACGTAAAATTTAAAAAAGGGTTTTATTTTATTTTCTATTGCCTATTCAAAGTGCAACCTGCGTCATAATCGCGCATCATGCTGTGTCGTAAAAATGGTGTCGCTGCATGCGGACATTTCCATCAGACAGAAAAAATGAAATTATTGGTTAGGACTGAGTATGATATGAGTAACTTGAGGCTGAATACGATATGAATAATTATTGGTTGAGACAGCGGATAACATGAACAAATATGCGTTCTTATCCAAGGCAGTTTCAGGCGAATAGCACATAACAGCTTCAGAGATTTTAATTTGGTTCACATTTATCAACATMGGTTGTTTTAATAACGTCAGAACTTTCTTTCTTCCTTTTCTGGGTTTTTCTTCTTTTTTTTCTTTAGTTTTTTTTTTTAGAAATACAGCACATGGACAAAAAACAAGAACTTCAAAGTGAACATTTTATTAATGACTAAAACCAAAGCCGACAATTAGAAGAAAGCCTACTTGACGAGGGAACTAGCCGCCCTCTTTACCATCTAACCAGCTGATGGCTTGAATATTTGACTAAGAGCTTTTCAACTTGTAATAAAGCTTTTTCAGACAGGATTTCGCATATGGGGTTTCAAAGAAAACTATMAAAAGAAATTGATGCGTCGGAAGCCCAAGTTATGAATGTAACTCAGAACTATTGTGACCAAATGTTGCAATTTGACTTTTGGGTACGTTTAAGTGCACTGGTGATTTTGTACTTAGCTGTTTTACATATTGATAAAGGTCTCTTTAGAAAATTTTTTTTAATGTTCTCCAAACTTTGTTGAATAAGATGTGACTTGCTTCTAATTAATTTTGTCATGGGTTTTCAGGGGAGGCAACTGCAGTAATTATAAGGACTGGACTGACATTGTCGCTCGGCTTCGAGTGGTACAATCAGCGTATATCAGTTGAGCTTTGATGTTACGACTGTTAGCGATTTCCTTTAATTTTCATTATTTGAGTTGTCTGTGTTTACGTCTTATTTGATAAAAGATGAAGAGTTTGACAGAAGTGTAGAACAAAGAAACAGAGGACTTCGATAATAGATATGACGTGTTAGGAATGGGTGGTAGACTAATAGGCCTTTTTCTACTTGTTTTCAAACAGTTCAAGGAAACCCGAATATAAACAGCCGTCCAAGTAGACACCTCATGGTTGATTTCAAGTCGATTTACCGACAGCAAACAGCATGAGATTCTTGACAGTTTCAAGTGAAACAGTGAGAAAAACCAAAACAACATTAAAAATGAGGTTTTCTCTTTTTAGACCCAGTAAATTGTTTGTTACTGTAGTATATAGTATTGAGGCTGTGACTACAACAACACTAACCAATGACATTACAACACCCTTTTATCTACCCACGCAGAATTGAGTTGTTTGGAATTCTAGGTATTCCCTAATGCTGAAAAAGGTGCCGCCTAATCTCCCATGCTCCCTCGTGATAAAAGAGAGGCACACTGGGCACGAGGCAACGTTTTAACGAACGATAAACTAAAATGTAGATGGAAACTTATTGCCATGTTTCGTTTTTTATTATTTCATTATCGTTTGTAACATATATTTTTTTTTATTTCTGTGTATTTGTCGTGTATATCGAATGCTATTTTTTCTTGAGTTTTGAGAGATTTGGTGCGGAAACCTTCACTTTGCCAGGAATATACTTGGATAAATCTACATCCTAGAACAGTTATTGTGATTATCAGAATATATCCCAATATTAACAACTAATTTAGAAAACTAACTGCTATCGTAGACATTATATTCATCAGCATTCATTATCATCACAACCCATCCAATTATCATCACCATCACCATCATCACCATCAGAATAATCCGTTAATAGTATATTTCTTCTAAAGTTTCTGTCGTAAAAACTTGCTTATAGTAAAAATATAATTGCAGTACCTTTACACTCTTTATCAAGTCTTTTTCACGTTGAGTTGCTTCTTTAAGGTTAACAAAAGCACTAATTGCTGTCTTCGTGGCTGAAGGTAAACATATACATTAGATGTCTTAAACTAATTCAAACAATTCTGAAAGTCATACACATTTTACGGTGAAAAAAGGAATCACTACAAGAAATAATAATTAAGAATAATTAAGACTTGGTACCTTTGCCTTTCTTTGTCGTTCCTGGCGTCATTTTAACTTTATACCTGGAAATACATCAACCAGATTAGACTATGAATCTAATATTATTAGAGGAAAAAACACCCAATCCAGTTCAACCGATCTCTTTTATCAATGCTGCAATACAACTAGTGTCAAATATCCAACCAAGAAATATGTTCAGCAATTTGCTACACTACACCTAGTATGACACCTGCTATATGCAAAGTATAAGACGATTTACTTCCAACATTTTGATATTCGCCAGTGATGATGATGATTATAATAATAGTGATGATGATAATGACTTACTTGTAAGTATTGACAGCTGAATAAGGAGCGCAGACAGGTACAGCAAACAACAAGGTATCTTCTTCTCTTGGACAACCTGTCAACGTATCCAGCAACGATACGCCATCCTAAAACAGTCAAATACGAGCACCTATTATCAATATCTCGTCAATCCCCTTAAAAACAGCCAAACAGGAGCACATATTATCAATATCTCGTCAATCCCCTTCAAGAGAGCCTGACACTAAGTACATATTGAGCAAATATGAAACACAATCGTCATCAAATTTTCTATTTTTAACGATTTTTTATAAAAACTCTTTCCACTCTCTGAATGTGCTAATTGGCTGGATAGCCAACTACATGATTATCAACCAACTAGTGAAATGGTTAACAGTACCTTGAGGAATTCTTGATTATTGGTCTCATCATCATCATCATCATCATCATCATCATCATCATCATCTCCAGGTTTTGCTTCCTGATAATCATCAATAACGAATCGTCAGGTATGACTAGATAGTAAAGCGGTTTCCGGATATGTTGCTCTTGTGAAGGCTCTAGGCGAGGGGAGGGTAGTAAGTGATTATGGATGAGTTACCTCTACTTGGTGACCCTCTTGAGTTTTCTGCTTCAAGTCGGTTAAATCTAATGCTTGTTCTATTATCTCATCGCTAATGACGTCACTACTATCTGGTTTACTACTCGTCCCAGGCTCGGCAGATAATTCAGATTGTTCCCATGGTAACGGAGTAGTGTCTTGTGGCCTGGGTTTTCTTTTACCGCTGACCGGACGTGATGTTTTTTCACCTTTGTTGAGTTTCTTTAATCTTCGCTGTTGAGCTTTGGACTCCTTTTTCTCTCCTGCAGACTGAATGGAAATGTCTTTATAGTTTATTGTTCAAATCATGACTCAATTTTAAGAAATTTCGATTCCTGATATGATTACTCACGGCCAAAATCTCCATTCTCAATTTCCTCTCTTCTTCGTCCTGGTCGCCATACTTCTCTTTGATTTTATTCATCTTTGCCTAAGATATTTCAAAAATATTTTTAAAAATAGTAACACCTTCCACTAAGAACACTACGTCATACCTTCTGTCCTCTTTTCTGTTGCTGCTGTTGTTTCTAGACACAAATAAAGAAAGGCATCAATAATCAATGTCAACCAATTCCTGATTGACAATATTGACGGTGATTGATGCGGCTAATCGTTTGATTGACAAAGGTGATTGATGCGGCCAGTCGTTTGATTGACAAGTGACGAATGATATGATTCCCAAATCAACTGATAACATCATACCTGTTGGTTAGGTTTGTCTTTAGGGTGATCGTTATCTAGTTTCTCCTTGCTTACTTTTCCTTTGTTGTCTCTGTCAACACAATACCACACAATGATGCAAAGCCTTGCAAAAAAATATAATTTAATATTCCATAAATTTGAACACTGAAAACCAGCTTACTTTTTACTTCTAGACTGCTTTTGTTCTTTGACAAGCGAAGCCTGTTAAGTGAAGAAATGTTCTTGGTTTTACAATAATAACAGAAACAGAAATATAGGTGGACAGACAAACCTTTTCTTTGTTTTCTCGAAGATTAACTTTGCGTTCATCCCCTAGAAATATTTCATCAGGATCATTGTCTTGAACACTACTAGACGTACTGACCTCTCTGTTCAGTTGGATTCTGTAAAACAGGCAAAAAATAAACAAAATTAGTGCACGAATAAAAAGACAAGAATATAGACATACAAAAACAAAACAATAAAAAAAACATCAAACTCACTTCCCACTGACGACTTTGAATCCAATATTTGTGTCAGGATAAAGTGGTGTTTCCTCGTTATCATCTTCTTCTTGAATAACATCAATGCCTTGCGCATCTTTATCATCATCATCATCACTATCATCTAACGGCAACTCCTCATCACCTTCAGTTGTCTGATTAGTCAAATAAAAAAGTTTTGTGGAATTGTTATTGGTAAAATATGTATCAATTGTTTTTAATCACATCCTGTCACTCAACCCTCATTTACTACTCAACAAGTTGTCACTCTTCCATTATTGAGCAATGATCAAACAAGGAACATAAACAACAACAAAAGAAGAAGGCTGAGTCATGGACATACCACAATGGATTCAGCAATGGATTCAGCAATAGATTCTGTGTCATCATCAGTTCCTCGAACACGGCGTTCATTCAAGTGATGCTCGATGCAAGAATCCTCCAGGCGAAGTAAAATACCAAACCCCATGACAAGATAAGTAGGAGGAAGAAAGTTCTTTTTACCACGAATCATAAAACTACCAGTTGTCAGATATTCACCAGTAGGTGCTGTCTTAGATACCTTGAACAAAATCACTATTTAAACTACAACAATCTACCATGAAGTTGAACATAAATATGAAAATGATATAACAACACCATGAATAACAAAATACACTCATGAGAACACAACATTTTAACAGTCATAATGATTAATACAGGGTGATGACCATTAGAATGCATAGAACAACAAGAACAACTACTGACAACAAGGACAACAACAAGAGTTTCATCAATGACACCACCACCCTAACCTGATCATGGTAGACCCACCATGCTGACGTTACAATCTTGCTGTCCCATGCTGAGCTGTAGCACACAGCCATACCACCTGCTTCTTGTAGAGTCTTGGGTGGAATGGGTTGCTTGTCTGGTTTGTTTTTAACAATGATACTACTAGCACCATGGAGATCAGCATGTACATATATATCACCTAAACATTAACAATTATACTAGAATTAATATTATTAATTAATCATTAATGATGTTTATACAACATGAAGCACAAGGATAAGTAACATGTAATACTCATTAATGTATCAGCCTCATCAGGCAAAATGATGTTGCATAAAAGTTTCATTTTCCTGGAAATGACGATGCAATGCCATTTCATAATCAAATGATCACCCAAAGCAGCCACTAATTAACTGTCAATAACAATTATAGCAATAATCATTGATGATGATATTAATGTTATGCATAATAGCGATTAACCTGGTGTTAGATGTCTTTTAACTATCAGTTCATTCTGCTGCTGATCTCGTCCTCCAATAACAAGGTAATTTTCAGAGCTGATAAACCAACGAAACTTTTCAAACCTTAAAAACACAACTATTATTAGTAATGATTATCAACCAATCCATGGTTATCGTCCATGGATAGAGAATTGTTATTCCATGATGAAAAGTATATTATTGCGCATCTCTTATAATAGTGTATTATTACCAAAAGGTTTTCCTTGCTTTCTGTATACTTGCTGTTGTTGCCACTTCCTTGATTGTTTGTTGTGCTTTTCTTTTAGCAGATTTGACAGCCTTTGAAAGAAATTGAAAGTGTGATCACATTTTTAAGAAATACCAGTTGTGATCCTTTAGCCATTTTATAGCAAAATACCATCAAATCTGATCAATATATTTGAACAACAGAAACAAAATGGTTGGGTTTAAAGACAAATAGCCATAGTTTGACACAGGAAGCCCAAGGTGGTGTACCTGATGAGAATGGTCAATAGTTTTCTGTTCTTTGATAGCTGACTGTTTCTTCTTCTTATAATAACTGAAAACAAAATTTGAACATAATTGATTGAAATTAACATAGACGAGCAGCAATAATGGCAATGATGACGTTAGACGATGATGATGATGATAACAATGATGAAAATAATATCACATTATCAGTTCATATGACCTTTGTGCATTGGCATACGCAGACAAAGCCAAGTTTATATCGATTCTGGTACCTTTACTTGGCTGAAACATACAAAAACCAGATCAATAATATTTCCACTGATTGAACAGTTCATAACAAAATGARCTCACTTTTGTAGCTTTTTTCTTCCTTTCATCAAGTTCTTCATCTTCTTCTTCTTCAGAATCTGAATCGTCATAAGGGTTTCTAATAAAATACAATAATTCTGGTTTGAGGTACAGTGTATTTACCGTAGACTCCATTTACCAATAAAAATTAACAATCAATGTATTTGGTGTTCACCTTAGCATAAGCGTAATGTGGTTTGTTTCTAGCTTCAAGTCCTTGATTGCACAAGCCACAGGATTTTCCTGCATTTGAGCTTCTTTGACAATCATCTTGATTTCAGTCCAGTCAATTTGATTTGCTATTGCACTGTTAACAATCTGAATTGCTTGATCAATCTGTTGAAAGTTAAAACTTATTAACATAAAACAAAATGATTTTCTTCTGAGATAAACCATTATCTGATATACTGAGATATTATCTGAGATATTCCTAATAAATTCAATGATATTGACCAAAAACATACCAGAGGTAAATTTAGCTCAATCAGCTCTGCTCTTCTCATATCATCTTCCTGTATAATGACAAAAAAATCAAAATAACTTTAAACTGTTTTATATTGGAGTTTGCTTTCATGAATCCATTATTATTCATTTCATTCAGTAATTCATCTCTCCCTCCCTCCTTCCATCAATCCATCCATCTGTCTGACCATATATTCATTCATTATTCATTTCATTGTGACCAAGTTTTTACCTGAGCTGATTGTAATTTTTTTATCCTTTTTTCATGGTCTAATTTAACATTTTCTACTTTTTTCAATGCAGACTTTTCTTGGTTCAATGCCTTCACATCAAGTTTTTGGCTTTCAATTTTGGAGAAAAATTCATCAACTGCCTAAAGAAAAAAGAGGAATGTTATCTCAATGTTCAAGGAGAATTTATAGGGAATGTCGTATGTTTTCCTACCTTATCAAATGAAGGGAATTCACTGAAAGATCCTGATGAATATTGAGCAAAAAGAAATGGATGAAACTCCTGAAACCTGATATGAATGAATAATTGTCAACATCTTAAAATACAGCAATAAAGAAGGGTCATAAAAGAATGGTTTAATGCAATGACAAATACAGGCTATCAGTAACAGATTATGATTATTGGACAGGCTGGAACACATGCAGACAAAAACTAAGCACTTCATAGCAAAATGAAAGGAAAAAAATACAACATCATGAGAAAACTGTTTGACATACGTGATCACTTCATCACTTTCATTACTTAAAGCAGCAGATGGCTTCTTCTCAACTTTTTGTATAATAAAACCCTAAAAATCAAAGTAATTCAACAACTCCATTAGTTCAAAGGTAGCATAAAACAAAATCACAGAAATACAAAAAAATCTGATAGACTTTTTGTATTAAAAACMGAACATAACWCACAGGAATTTTGAAATAGTTTGACTCACTTTGCATGTTTGTGATAATGCTTGATCAATCAGTGTCTCTGCCAAAACAACA